AATTCAGACACAGTCTATGAGTGTTGACTCTGAGGCTACTTTCTCGAAAACAAAGGTTAGATCTATTACAGTTATTAACCGTATATTGTAAGGAAACTTACTGTTAATCATTTAACTGGTTTTTACTGTGGCATTTCTACAGTCTTTTACCGTTAAAATCACGATCATTTTTTACAGTGTAGCATATTGGCTGTTTATTAGTACTTATATATTAATGCCTTCAGAACTTGTTTTTTGCAGTGAGAGGTGCATGTATTTTTTGTTGGCAGTGAGCTTTTTGCATGCTGTTTATGCTCCCCGGGTGCCTCGTGTTTTAGCCGCCTGCTGTGCCTCGCGTATTTGCAGTGGTGGACAGTAACGGAAAGTAGCCTATATAAAACTGCAAAATAAATATTCATCTATCAGTACTTTTTACTTAAGTACATAAAAAATCAAGTACTTTTGTACTTTCACTCGAGTAAAATTGAAAACTGAGTACTTTTACTTTTACTGGAGTAATATTTTATTATACGTATCTATACTTTTACTCAAGTACTTGATTTGTGTACTTCGTCCACCACTGCGTATTTGTAGAAGCGCTCTGAGCGCCTGAAGTTGAAAAAAAAAAAAAATCTACTCTGAGTGGAAAAGCATACAATGTCATTTGCATTTTTTTCCATTGTCCAATCGAATGAATGGAGAGGCTGCCTTCCGTTGTGGTGACGGAAGTCCATTGTTGCTTGGAAAGTCTGGAGACTGCAGTGATGGAGGAGAAACTTGTGCTGGCTGTTGCGGGTTACCCGGAGCTATATTTTTTTTTAAAGGTTTCTGCTAATATGACAGTTTACTTAACAGCAAACCAAAGATTTTAGAATGCTCACGCTATAATCATTGATTAGACTGACAGGACAGCCTATTCGGTGGTTGCCTAACAACATAAAAAAAAATTTTCAAGAAAAAAAAAATGCAGCGCACTGCTCTTTTCTAAAAAATCAAAATAAAAAAATCAAACAAAAAAAGTAATTGCTGTGTTTTTCGTGTTTTCAAACCTGAAAAACGTGTTCTGTCTGATCGGGCCCTTATTCTGCATGACAATATGTTCAATCCCTTAACCCTATCCCATACCTAAACTTAACAACTACCTTACTACCTAAGCAAATTAGGAGTTTATTGAGTTAATAGTTAATAGTAAGAATTGATCACCAAACTAAAGTGTGACCACAATATCTTTTTTGTATTCTGAAGAAGAAATAAAGTCATGTACATGATGGCAGAATTTTCATTTTTGGATGACCTATCCCTTTTATGCCAATATTCAACATGTCCTCAAACACTAGATATAAAACTATAATGTATGTAGGAATGCAGGGGGTTTGTGAACTGATAAAATAGTTCTGCCGTGTAAGATAACTGTCAACTGCGTTGTTAATGAAGGTGCTATTGAAATGGATTTTACAAATAATGGGATCAGGAGTGGCCGTTTTGGTCACACTTTAGTTTGGGGACCAATTCTCACTATTAACTATTAACTACAATCTAAAATATGGTCATGCAGAATAAGGCATTAATATGTGCCTTATAATTACTAATAAACAGCTGATATGCTAGTAATATGCATGATCCCTGAACTGTGAATACACAGGCAGTGGTCTGAGTCAGGGATGGGCAGTATTTCAGATACATGTATTTAAAATGCAAAATACTATTTTGTATTTTAAAGCCTTTGTCAAAAATCAAATGTAATTTGTATTTAAATACATTTAAGATTAGTATTTTTGTATTTTCAAAATACATAAAATACTTTGTGCCAGTCAACCTCTTTATCAGGGTGCTGATTTAGTTCAGACCACG